GCCGGCGGCCGCGCGGCGGTCGCCAAGGCGAAGCCGCTGCCGCCGCCGGGCGGCGTGGAGACGGTGCAGGAGGAGCCGGCGGCGGAGGAGGAGGCCGCGGCGGAGGAGGCGGAGCGGGAGGGGGAGGGGCGGCAGGGGGACGGCGCGCGTGGCTACCCGCTGCGCCGCAGGGCAGCGGCGGCTGCGGCGCTCCCCGAGGTGCCGGAGGAGGGGCCGTCTGACGAGGAGGGCGAGGGCGGCGCGGCCGACGCCGACGGCGGTGCAGGCACAGATGCGGGCGCCAAGGGGCGTCGGGGCAGGGGGCGCGCGGCGGCGGCGCCCGCTGCGGCGGGCAAGGGGGGCCAGCAGCGGCGCAGCAGGCGGCTGCACAAGGACCAGCAGGAGGAGGTGGAGGCCGCGTGACGCGTCTCGGGGGGAGGGCGGGTCGCCTCCCTGACGCACCGTGTCGCCTGCAGCATTGAATGAGGAGACGAGGGGGCGGCCTGCGCCAAAAGGGCACTCAGAAGTCTGCTGGCGGGCGGGTGCAATGTGGACGACAGCCCCCCCTTTGGTTTTTGCCTGGGCGGCTACATTTGACGAGAACGTGCGCGGCATGTACTCTACGGTCTCCTCTGATGGTGAAAGCTTCACACTGACCAGCAGCCACATGCGCTGCTGACCGACAAGCTCGGCGCGTGCGTGCGAGGCTTGAACAGCAGGCGCAATCTCGGCGCAGGCTGCATGACGACGACTTGACAGTGCTTTGGACTGCGACCCCAGACAGGTTTCTTGAACTCGTTCTAGTGTAAACATCATGTTTCACGGCAATGTAAACCGAGAGTCAGACTGTAGCCGCGCCGAGGGAGTCGACGTGAACTCAGAATTTGTGTGGCTGGCTCGCACCGCAGTGCAGGTATGGGACATCCCGTGGCAGAGATTTACAACGCAATTCACATAACTACACAATTTGATTGACGTCACCGTTCCGCGTACTTCCCCGTTACGACAGTCGTCGCTCCGACAAATTCTGAGCTAGACGAGGTTGCAGTCGGTGTAATAAGAGACCGATGCAGCCCTTGCATGCTACAGCAGGTGTACGGGTGAAAGAAAGCACCAGCAGCCCAGGGACTACTGCAGGGCCCAGCGACGCCGCCGAGCCGTCGTCCGGGCGCGGACTCTACAGCATCGCCGCCCATTATGACAGCTCCTGCTGCGTCCTGCTCACCGGCGCCACCGGCTACATAGGCTCCCTCGTCCTGGAGAAGCTGCTGCGCAGCACCACGGCCGGCAGGATCTTCGTCCTGCTGCGCCCCCGCAGGGGCGTGGGGCCCCAGGAGCGCCTGGCCGCCCTGCTCGATGGCCCCCTGTTCCACCTTGTCGGCCCGGAGCACGCGGCGCGCGTCACCGCGGTCGCTGGGGACATCCTAGCGCCGAGGCTTGGGCTGTTTGATGCTGACGAGGCGGCGCTGGTGGGCAGCGTCGACACCGTCGTCCACGCGGCCGCCAGTGAGTGGCTGGGGAGACTGCAGTGGGAGCCGTCACGCTGATGCGCGAGTGACACAGGCGGCTCGGTGCATGACACAGTCATGCAAGTGGAAGGCAGGGCTTGATTTGGGCTCGCTGAGAGGCGTGAAAAGAATGTCTGCAGGGTGCAAAAGAGTGTGCGCGGGCCGAGGCGCAACAAAAAAAGTGTCTGCGAGGCGCAAAAAAAGTGTCTGCGGGGCGCAACTGAGATCCTCGGACACCGCCGGCTCGAACTCGACACTGCCTGCGGCCGCCGAGCACCCTACTGACCAGACCGCTTATGCCTCGCACGCTTGAGCATCAGCAGCCCTGCAGGGCGGGTCAGCGCGCCGGCCGGCCGACATGACCCACCTCTCCCCCGCGCTCGGTCCCCGCCCCCTCACACCACCCACCCC